CGTCTCCCACACCCCCTACTACAAACCCTAGCCGCCATTAATCCCTACGCCGCCCTCCGCCCTCCGCCGTCCGCCGCCGGCTGAAAATCGCCTCCGCCGGCGGCCGGTCTCCAAATAATCCCAAATTTACACCACGGATTCCCCTCAGTCTCCTCTTTCCAAACCCCCAAACCCCGTCCCTCAAATCCCAACCGAGCTTCTCGGATTTTAAATCAAAAAGATCGACCAAAACCCTAAATCACCCAAATCCGACCAAACCAACACCCCATAACCCCCATCTCTCCCTCAGTCCAAATCCCTACTTAGTCTCCTTCAAACACCCCCGGAGCTCCTCGAATTTCAAATCATAGAAGTGGCAGAACCCTAGAAGCCTGATTTGCTCAAGTTCTTTCCAATTTCCCTAGTTCAGAGTTTGATTCGAGGCACGAAATAATGTGCTCGTTTGTTCATGATGAAGAACAAACGTTCACGTCATTCCGGGTCTCGAATCGAAGTCCAGCTTTGTTCAACCTTGCATAACGTAAGTTTTCTTTTCTTTATTGTTTGTTTACTTTGTTATAAAAATTAGTTTAAGCCTAGCTTCTTTTAATAATTCACAACTAGTGCTCTAGGATTGTTTTGTTTTATGTCTTTGATTGCTTTTCTGTCAATTCAAGCATTGTTGATTAATTAGGTTCATGTTTAAATGATATTTGCCTTTGGTAGCCTTTAATTCTGTTTTTTTAGTAGTTAATAGGCTGGTTTAATTTTGTTAATCAAAGGACTGTTTGGTTATAGCTGAATAGGCTAGATGTTTTTGATTAAGCATGGTCAATTCTTGACAAATTATCAGGGTAAGAGGGGATGATTAGTTTAGTAATTTTCAGAATTGAAAAGGGTAACATTGGCATTTCAGAATCAGGGAATCTTTAGTAACTGAAATTCGAAATCACTAGGACCTTCTAGATGATGTTTTAATTGGAAATTCAGAAAGTTAGTCATGTAACTTGGGCAACAAGCCAAGATTCTAGGGACTAACTTGCTAAAAAACAAGAATTAAAAAGGGACTAAAATGCAAAACAAAATATGCAGGGTTGCCCTAATTGTTTGCCTATAAAGGTACCATTTCTTGCCTTAGAAGGCAAGGTTTTAAGAGCTAAGAAATACAGAAAATAGACCTGAGAGATTAGAGAGCTGAAAATCCAGAAAAGGCTGCACAATTTTATTGTTTTATAGAAATTCATAGAAGAAAAATTCAGAAAAGAACCAAATGGCTGAACTCTGAATAGGAAATCACTGTTTCATTGAGTTATTTTGCGATCTTAAAGTTTAGAGTTACTTAAACAATTGTTGATCTTCTTTGGGGTCGAAAATGGATTAAATTGGAATTTTGAAAGTGCTGGCTCAAGTTTTCCTTTCTTCCTGCTTTGTTTACTGTTCCATCGGTTGGTTTCAAGCTGTTTTGCTGTTGGTTTCACGTTACTGGGTTCTGTTGCTATTTGTTTCCTGCTGCTGAACTTTGTCATCTTTGTTTCCCTTATTCCTAGGTACACATTACTGATTCTGAACCTGTAGAAATGGCTCATATGATTTGAAGAAATGTAAATTAAGGGATGTGATAGTATTTGTGCTCGTAGTTAGCATTGTCTTCTTTTTCTTTGTCTTGTTTACTTGCAATCTCCTGTTATTGAACATGTAATTAAAAATTAACACTTCATATGCTTTGCTAGATTGGATGGAATAATTGAAATATAATTACTATGTGTTACTTACTGTGTAGATCTGGACTGTAATGATCCAGACATGTTCCGATCTTCTTCTTAAAGCTGTGTTAAATAAGTATTAGGCTTGTAATAATCTGAATCTTATATGTAAGTGTGAACTAAGAGTCATTATTATCAGGTTTGAACCTAGCTCGTGGGCATGATTGTTCAAATTGCATCAGGAGTTTGAACAGATTTGGGGATTTATTTTAAGATTCGGGTGTTAAAATCCATTCTAGGCTTAGCTCAGTGTCATCTCTCTCTTGTCTTTGAGATCTGAATTTAGTCTTTCATCCTGTGTATTGAATTTAAAAGGATCACTTTAATTTGTTAGTAAAATGGTTACGCAATGCTTGTTTGAGAAATTTCCAGTTAGTTAACGTCTGAAATCATGCTTGGAGAAGTTCAATAGTTGGTTGGTTTCTGGAGCACTTCTGCTTATTGATATCCATGCTTACTAGTAGGCTTAAATGTTTTAAGGGTTGAAGGTGTAACTGTGATTTAAAATCAGACTTGGAAAGCTTATGAGTTGATGTTGTTTCTCTGTATAAGGTGTTAGGAGATAGTAAAAAATCAAAAGCATGTATCACATAGGTTATCACTGTTGGTTTGTCCATTTAAATTGAAATTTAAAGGAAGTTGATCTGTGGATTGGACTAATGTTTATCAACGTTCAAGGCTCCAAATTAGATGGTCAAACCCTAAATCACACACTGACACTGATTTCGCATAGATTGTTGCTTATTGTTTGGACTGTGAAGACTAGGCCTGATATTGGGCCTGGTTACCTAACAAGAAGTCCAAGTTTGGACCAGTGCATCTGAAGCTCCAAATTGGGCTAGTGTCGAAGCCCAACGCTAACAGCCTCTTGTAAGAGCTGATCGCGGCTCCTCAATCGTAGGCTGAATTTAAGGCCCAGAACGCTAAGGGCCTGAAATTCCATTCTGATTAGTTCAGTCTTGCAACATAAATTTGGGCCTTCTAAGATAAGTAGCAAATTTGAATTAGAGGAGTCTTCGAATGAAGATTCTTTTGTTTGGATTTGGACTTGACCTTGGTGGCCGCATTTATTTGAATATCTCAATAACTTTAATAATGTTAATTAATTAGGTTTTCTAGAGATAAAGCTTAACAGAAAAACAGTAGTCTCTTTAGGGTGGCCTTTAAATAAAACGAGGCGCGCCACGCCAAACAAAACTCATAAATTGCGTGGCCTCTCTTTTAAAATTTATATTAAAACACTTAGAATTTGGGACGTGCCGTTTAGCGAATTTTCACGGCCTCCCGCAAAGATAATAAGACGCTAGACACTTTAGGCGCTCATTTTAATAATATTACCTTCTTAACTACGGGTGTGCATTTCATGCGACCCAAATCCAAATCCCAAAACGTTGAATAAGAGGTGTCAAGGATCCGGGTGCATTTCATGTGACGTGATCCAAAAACACTCTCTTAAACGACGTTCACTTTCATAAAAACTAATTAAAAGCGGTTAAACAATTCTAAAATTGCAATAGGATAACATGTATTAAAATCAGACTTTAGCCAAATATAGCAGTTGAGCGACCGTGCTAGAACCACGGAACTCGGGAGTGCCTAACCCCTTCTCCCGGGTTAACAGAATTCCTTACCCGGATTTCTGGTTCGCGACTGTTAAACAGAGTCAAACCCATTCCTCGATTCGGGATTCAAACCGGTGACTTGGGACACCATAAATCTCCCAAGTGGCGGCTCTGAATCTCTTAATAAACGAATCCCGTTTCGATTGTCCTTTAATTGGAAAAACTCCCTTTTATTATACTCTTCACGGGGTATAATAGCGAAAAAAAGGAGGTGTGACAGGGATGACTCCTTGCGTTGAATTTTCATCATATTTGCGTTCTATCTACTGTAATTTCTTTCGGTAAAGTAATTGGCATGTCATTTCAAGCAAACATTATATCATCCTCCATTTATTTACATTTTTTGTTATCTATATAGTATATACTATGGAAAAGTCCCTTAGCTTTGAAGTGAAAGAATTAGAGGATAATTAGATTTTTTTTTCTTTCTCGTCTCACTCTAATTATTAGTACTATAGATTTTACTTGAAATCTTCATATCATAATTTCTTGAGAAGCTTTCGAAACATCATAATTAATTAGTTAATCCCTTCAAAGCAGATATTTAGCCTTTAATCAAGATACCACAGGATATGAGCTTAACTGCATTATTTACGCCTTTTAAATTGGAAACGGCTATTTATGCCTTTTAAATTCCTGCCTGTCATAAAAGAGAATTGCAGTCAATCACAAAATATTGCTTCTTTTACTCTGGTTGATTCATTGTAGCTAATCTTGCTTAGCATTTTATTAGAGTTGAACTTCTGAAACAATTTTCTTAGAATCCACTCGTGGATTACACTTGGTATGTTGTTGTAAATTCTAAAACTTTTTGATATACTGCATGACCAAAAGAAAGCAAGAAGAGAGAGACTGTTTAATGTAACACCGATTAATTATTTCTTTCCTCTCCCATTTTTAGTATGACCATATACATAGGCAAATTTAAGATTTAAAGGCGGCTGGTGCACCATTTTTTTAATACTGAACATGAAGCCAAAGCGGAGGTACGTATTCAATGTTTCTGTAATCAATTGAATTTTCAGTGAATTTTGAAATTAGTTGGATCAGTATCCTTGGTTTGGTAGTCAAAGTATAAGTTGGATAAGTCAATTATACTCTCTAACAATAGCTTTGAATCCAACACTTGGATTTGAAATTTTTAATACATATATATGTATGTATATATATATTAGTTTTCTCTATCGGGATAAGAACTTTTGTACATTCACAATTCTATCAATAATTCAAGTAAAATAACATGTTCAACAACTGAATCACACCCATTTTGCGGACAACACAAACAAACATAACAATTTTCATTTCACATCTATTTATTAAATTTTATTTATAAATATAAGTGTATTTTCATATTTATTTTTTTGATATAGCATTCTCACGTTACTCCACACATTCTTTATCGTAAAAATAATCCTTTTAAAGATTTTCAGTATTTAAACAACATCGTGAGCTCAAAAATGCTTCAGTGTGAGGTGTCTAATTAGATTTTCGAATTCACTTAATTTACTTAAAAGGCAAAATAAAATCTAAAAGCATTTAAGAATTTAAAAAATGTTCTTACTATTTTCCTTTTTCTGTCCACTATTAAATGTTTCCTTTCTTCCCAGCGATCCGTAAAGGTAATATGGAAAGAAAATCAAGGCGCCTCATTTTGAATTTCTCTTAAGTGGGCCCCATCCCTACCATTTTATTCAAAAAGTAGCCGTTAAAAAGTCTACAAATTTCAAAATCCAACACACAAATCAAATTCTAGGTTAATTCAAGCGGAGCTTCAACAAGCAAAGCCAAAGACTGAAACAATCCTTTGATTTCAATTCTCTCCTTTCTCAACTTTGCTTACTCCAGATTTTGTTTTTGAATAGCAGCCTGGTAAGAAAATATAATTTTTTTTTGCTTTTGCATCTATGATTGTGCTCAAATAGTAATTTTTTGATTCAGAGTAATACATACACTGATTAATTAAATTGACTCCAGCTATTTTTTGATTGATTATTTGAATTAGATAACTGATATGTGTTGTTTGATTTGATTTAGCAGCAGATTTGGGGGGATTACAGATATCATGTCGTTGACACCGGATTTAAGTAGGAAAGTAGGGGTGGGTATGGCACCGTCTCCGTCACCGTTTTTTACACCTAGACCGGAACGGCGGAGGGCAACGGAACCGAGGGGGATTGACTACAATTCCAATCGGCTGGACAAGGATAAAGAGGTCAATGTACAAGTTCTAGTTAGATGCAGGTGCGCCTTTCCTCTAGATTTTTGAGTGCTTCTACTCACTCTTTTTAGTGTGTGTGTGTTGTGTTTGTGTGTCTGTGTTTGTGTCTACATCATTTCTAAAAGTTTTATGTAGTTTATTTTAAAAATCCATACTTATGTGCCTAAATGTGATTTATGTAGTTTATTTTGGCTTTTATGAACTTCCGCTAACAAATTTGATGCTTATGTTTTTCTTTGCTTTACGATCCTCGGATTGCTACAAAAAGTGTGAGCTTTGATTCACACTATCAGTTAGTATCTGATTACTATATCCTTCAGTACCTGAAATTTAACCAAGATGAACATTTCCTCGTCCCCTAAACTGTGTCTAAACAAAAAAATAAAGAAAGCAGCTTGGTGCACTAATCTCCCATTATGTGCGGGGCCTGGGGAAGGGCCAGACCACATTGCGCCTTATGTACAAAGCTTTACCTTGTATTTCTACAAGAGGTTGTTTCCACGGCGTCAACTTTTGCCATTACTGTGTCTAAACAGATCAAGAAAAAATATTTCAGGACATGATTTGAATGCTGTAAACCTGCCTTTTTTATATTATCGTTATGTGCTTATAAAATTGAATGTGGAAAAACACACCTCAATATGGACATCAATGGCTTAGGATTGGATGCATTGTTGCTGACTGATGTTGTTACACATTGGTTTCAAGAAAAACAAGTGTTACAAATTTCATTTGACAAATCTTAGTGTTGTTGTTTCAGGCCATTGAATGATGATGAGCAAAGGATAAATGTTCCAAAGGCCATAACATGTAATGAAAGTAAAAGAGAAGTTTCTGTTGTACAAAATGTAGCTAACAAGCAAGTAGACAAAGTATTCACTTTTGACAAGGTATAATTCTTTGTTTTATAGTAGCATTTTGTTCATTAAATGGATGGATGGCATGTTAAAAATGTTAGCATTAGGAGCTGTCTTAAAGCTATGCTATTTACCAGGTTTTTGGCCCAAAAGCACAACAAAGATCGATATATGATCAAGCCATTTCGCCCATTGTTAAAGAAGTTCTTGACGGATTTAATTGCACTGTATTTGCATATGGGCAAACTGGTACAGGTAAAACATACACAATGGAGGGAGGAATGAGGAATAAGGTATTAACTGGTTCACTCTACACCATATCATCTTTCACATCGATCTACTCTTGTCCATAAGTCTTGTTCTTTCCTTATGTTATAGGCTGGTGAATTACCAGCTGAAGCAGGTATTATTCCAAGGGCAGTTCGCCAAATTTTCGATACGCTTGAAGGTCAAAATGCGGATTATAGTATGAAAGTGACTTTTTGGGAACTATACAACGAAGAAATCACTGACTTGCTAGCTTCAGAAGAGCCCTCAAAGTCTTCAGAGGAGAGACAAAAGAAGCCTGTATCCCTGATGGAGGATGGAAAAGGTTGTGTTGTAGTGAGGGGTCTTGAGGAAGAAGCTGTGTACAGTGCAAACGACATTTATAACCTCCTGGAACGAGGTGCAGCCAGGAGGCGCACAGCAGACACTCTATTGAACAAACGCAGCAGGTAGGACCTGTTAGCTTTAATCGATTTAAGAAGTAAATGTTAAGCGACAAGTTAATGATACTCTTCTTCTGCAGCCGTTCTCACTCTGTTTTTAGCATAACTATTCATGTCAAAGAAATGACTGTTGGAGATGAGGAGCTCATTAAGTGTGGCAAGCTCAATCTTGTTGATTTAGCAGGATCAGAAAATATTTCTCGATCAGGTGCCCGAGAGGTATGATATTAGCATCACAGATTTGTTAAAGAACCTTTATTCCTTGCTGTTTTTGTATAACTGTTCATTGGTTATCAATAATCAAGTAACAGTATGGCAGTAATGCAAGATATCAATATGAAATGCTTATATCTATAAGCAGAAAACATAGTCTTTTTTTAGTTGTAGGGAGGAAGTTATATTTCCTGTCTTTTACTAGTTCTGCTTCCCTGACTTACAAAAAGAGTAGCAGATGACAAGTGAGCACAGGAAAAATTAACTCTTAGGTTTGAACTCAAAGTGTGAGATAAAGCAAAATTGGAAAGCTTTTACATTTTCTCCTATACTCAGTTATTCAAATAAATGTTAACTAAATGATAAATGAGCGCCGGAAAAAAACAAAAAAGAACATGATAACAATTATGCCTCAATGCCAAACAAGTTGCGGTTGGCTATATGCATCTTCTGGAATGGTGGTACAAGTCTTGTATGCATTAACCTCGATAAAGCGAATCCAACTTACAACAACTATATCTGTTTGAACTCAGGCTCGTGCAAGAGAAGCGGGGGAAATCAATAAGAGTTTGCTTACACTTGGTCGTGTTATAACAGCTTTGGTTGAACACTCTATTCACATACCTTACAGGTTTGTGTCAAAAAGGCACTTCTTTGGATTTCTCCCTATGCTTCTCCATTTGACTCTTCTTATTTTATATTACACAGGGATAGTAAGCTAACAAGACTTCTCCGAGATTCATTAGGAGGAAAGACAAAAACTTGTATTATTGCAACAATTTCTCCCTCTGCACATTGTCTTGAAGAAACTTTAAGCACACTGGATTATGCACACCGTGCTAAAAACATCAAAAACAAACCAGAGGTTGACACTGTGATTCTCTTTGCTTATATTATTCTTTAAGTGTTGTCTGTGGTTTGAGCTGGATAAAGTTATGGATTTCAGGCTAACCAGAGGATGTCCAAGGCAGTGCTGCTCAAGGATCTGTACTTAGAATTAGAAAGGATGAAACAAGGTATATTAACACCTTTTTTTGTGGTGTGTGATCTCTTCGTTTCCATGCTAGGATACTTCTTTACCAATTAGGTCATTTGCCTTTATGATCTTACCAGATATCCGAGCAGCAAGAGAAAAGAATGGAGTTTACATTCCTCATGAAAGATTTTTGCAGGATGAAGCAGAAAAAAAGGTATATGCTCTTAGATTTGGCTAGCAACTTCTGATAATTTGCAGAGATGGGTTCATCTATGAATGAAATCTATCTAACAGTTGTATGACTTCCCCTTCAGTAGATCTAAAATTTTTAAAATTTTCTTTCGAGTTGTTGAAGTTTAAACCAGATTATTCCCAAAATGCAATTTGGCCTTTAACCCAGTGACTATAATCTAGCTATACACCACTTTAAATAATCAATCAGTTGTGAACCACAGACCCCGATAATCAATCAGTCGTGAACCAAAGACCCCGATAATCAATCAGTTGAGAACCGCAGACCCCGATATATTGGTTATATGTTATTTGGAACAACATTGTGCTTGATAGGACATTCACTGTGAAGCACTTTCCTGGCACTTTGTGATTTAATTAATTTTTAAACGTCATTGTCGTATCTTACAGGCAAAGGATGAGAAAATTGAGCAGTTGGAGATTGATCTAAACATTGGTGAAAAGGTAATTTTGGCATTGTTTCCCTTTCTTTTATTTTATTGTTAATGTTTTTTAAAACCCTAAATCATTTGATATATGCACTTTGCTGAATATTTCCCCCTTGACTTGTGACAGCAAATTGATAAATTCCGTGAGCTCTGTCTTAGGGAGCAGGAAGAGAAACTGAACCTGAAAGCTGAACTCAAAGACTGCCAAGTAATGCTAAAGAAGTTGTTTATAAATTATGCATAGTGCTTCTTTTTCTGTAAATAATTCGGGTCTTCCAAATTGCCCAGGCGAACCTAGAAAATAGTAAAAAGACATTACATGAGCTCCAAGAGAATTACAGGATTGCTATTTCAACGCTGAAGGAAAAAGAGTTCATTATTTCAAAACAAATACATTCAGGTATCTGAAGCTCTTGCATGTGAATTTTTCTTTGTATGACCATTAACTTCTATGATTATGTGATTCTGTAACTTGCAAACAGAAAATTGTCTGATCGATTGCGCAAAGGACTTACAGAAAAATTTGCAGAATGCATCAGAGGATATAACTTCACTTTTTTCAAGAATAGGTACTCTTGGATTTTGTTTGCTTATTGGTTCATCTTGCTGGCATTATAGTTTGCATCTGTATTCTCCTGATGATAAGCTGTCGACTCTTCAGGAATAAAATTTTCAATAGCCTTTTGATTCTACATGATGAATTACACTCTTATGTCTGAGGCAGTGCTCTCTTATGTCTGAGGCAGTGCTAGAGAAGTAAAATGATCTCTCTATTCTTTGACTAGGACTCCAAGCTGCAACCCTTTTCTCATGTTTTGAAGCAAACTGAACATGTCATTTCTTTAATATATATAAAAGCAAGGTGTGCACTCTTAAAGGTTCCAATTTACGCAGATCACAAAGACAAGCTGGAAGCAGATAATCAAAATCTGCTGCATACATTTGGTTCACGGCTTGATAAAAGTTTAAATGACCTGCACAAAATCATTCACGGGTTGAATTCCCAGCAACAGCATCAATTAAGAGGCATGGAGGAGCATGTCAGCTCATTTCTTGCCAGCAAATGTGATGTAAGATATTAAATTCTGAGTTTTCTACTGACCTTTAGCTATACTAAGTTCATTGATTGAGGAACTCAATAACGTTTTAATACCAACAACCAGGTCACTAAGGTCATGGAATCAAAGATCAACAAAATGACTCAGACATACATTTCTGGCATGACAAGCTTGAAGAAGCTTGTTGATGTATTGCAGTTGGAAGCTTCTTCTGATCTGGACCAAATCAAGTCTAATATATCATCTCAAGCTACCGCAGTTGAGAAGGTACGAAATCTCTGTGTTTCTGATGTACGTGCTGATTAGGTTATATCAAATTAAGCAGGAATCTTTTCAATGCAGTTTCTTAGAGCTGCATCTTTGGAGGCCAAAGATTTCGTTTGTGATATCAAGAATTCTCTGGACGAACAAAGAGAAATACTAGATTTCTCTGCTAAACAACAAGAAGAGGTTAGTCAATTTTTGCCCTTATATATTTTCACAAGAATCATTTTTACAGCCTATGCAGGTATTTATTAGTGCTAGCTTTATCTTCTACTCTCTCATCTGTTATACAGTTTTTTTATGTATTCTAGCTACTGAAACATAGAACTCAACAAACCTTGGATGCCACAGGCACTTCGTCGAAGTCTTGTTTCAGCACAATTAATTTCTCAGGCGACTGTAAACTTCTTTGATGATCTCCATCAACGTGCTTCTGAAGTGATGAAACTTCTCGATAAAAGCAACATCAATAAAGTTGACCAACTACAAAAGTTTGAGAAGACATTCAAGGTTAAGAAGCAGAAAGTGACTCAACTATCTTCAATCAATCTATATCTAATTGCCTATCGGGAAGCTAAAATCTCTTTTTTCTCTTCATGGCAGGAAGAGGCACTTAGAGAAGAAAATTTGGCTCTTGACAAAATTGCTGCAATATTGGCAACTCTGACAACTAAGAAAGCAGCTATGGTAAGTCTGTTGATCCTGCATCTCTTATCATGCATGACATTTAATAAGAGATATATTCATCGCGAAATATTTAATGTCAGGTGTCAGAAGCGTCAAGAAATTTCCAGGATTCTAGTGCAAAAGAAAATAAGCAGCTGTTGCGAGAATTGTTAGGTGTCCAGCAGGTTTCAGCTAGCGCAAAGCAAAAACTGAATGGATACGTTAATGAGGTGACACAAAATTTCTCGGAAGACACATTGACATATACTGGAAGCAGAATGACTTTGGAAACTTGCCTGCAAGAGTGGTATGCTATCTGTTCTTATGACACAATTTTTCATCTTGAAGGAAGACGAGATGGCGTCGAATGTGCAATAAGTATATTTAGGAAAAAGAGAGGTTCCGGCTTGTATATGAGTAAAACAACAGAATGAGCACTTGAATGTTTCCCAAAATAACAGTTCCAAAGCATGAACATCAATAATAAAGCATCTTGCATGCATAACTGTGAATAATTTGTGGCATAGGACTGTTAATTGGGTCAGTAGTCTGAGAAGCTTTTGGATTCTTTTCCCCTTTTAGCACAAACAAGGTGGATAACTTGGATGAACAGTTGGGGAGAACTCAATCAGGAGTCCATCAAATTCTTACGAACAATCTTGCAGAGCTAGAACACATTTCACAGTAAGTTCTCACTTGCGACCCTTTTCAGGTTTCTGTTATTTCTTATTTAATTCTAATTCTTAGTATCTGTCCTTCTTTCCTTGATAGGGAAAGCTCCATCAGAATTGGTGGTGCATATGATGAATTTCTCTCCACTTCTTCATCTGTGGACCAGAAAGTTGAAGCCCATGGTCACGATTTGCTGACTTCTTTCAATGGTATCTGAAATCTTATGGATACAGATTATGACCCTCTCCCCCTCAAACTGAGATGCTTTTATTAAACAAAGTTGTCATGTGTTTGCAGATTCTTTGACGTTGGACATGGAACACAAGAATAGAATTGAGTCAATAAGTAGCATCTGTCTAAATCAGCTAAACTCCATGCAACAGAACCATGGTGAATGTATATCAGATATCCAATGTACAAAAGAACAATGCCTCCAAAAAGACTACATGGTATATACTGGCTTACTATGTTTCATTTGCTTATATTTTCACAGGGTACTTTCTAAGCTTCCTTTGATCCACGGCCGCAACGAACTGTCAAGGATCTAAGCTAAATTTTAGTCATATGATATAAAGTAGTCTTGCTGTTGTTGCATTCTAATTTATTGAACAATAATCTTATAAACAGGTTGACATGTACACTGATAAGACACCGATGAAGCGACCGATACAAATTCCCAGCGTAGCATCCATTGAAGATATGAGAACAGTGATATCTAAAGTTAGTCTGGAAAATGAACCAAAGTGGAGTGGTGCTGAGGGAAAGAATCAGCGGCAATTACAACAATGTACAGGAGCATCTCCAAATAGAACTCCATTTGCAGATGTCAATTGATTTGGCAGTAGATTAGAGAATTGCCACCTCGAGGAATTAATTACTTGCACTCATCTACTGATGAGAGTGCCAAAGTCGTATTTTGTAAGTTGTGTGATGCTGCAGTTGTTGCATCATCCTTTTCCTCTTTTCTTAATATTAAGGAAGGGATAGGGAAATTGAAAAAAGGATAGTAATGAGAATTGAACTAACAACTATTTGCGTCGAAGACTGCCTTTTTCTAAAAGCTCCACAGGGCCGTCCAACAAATAATTCGCCCTTTCCATTTTAAAATCACTAGTTTCTGGACACGTGCGTCCCACGTGTATTCCATATCAATTAATTAAAAAAAATGATATAAATGTAATTATTAAAATATATGTGTATTTGATCAATATAACTACCGTGGTGTCTCAGAGATGTAAACTTGCTTTCTTATACTATATTACATTCTACCTTAGTATAACAAAAAAAAAGGTTGCATAAAACTCTGCTAATACAACTAAAAGCCTAATTTTTCAAATAGCAAACGTTTATAGGTTTTGGCCTCTTTGATTTCTCCTGAATCTTTTTGCACTCGAATTATGACATAAATTTAGCATGTAATATATAGATTCACCTTAGTAGTTTTTGTTTAGATCCTGCATATATATTCACTAAATATCTATAAATATTTTACTCTAAACTCAATTTTCAGTGTAAACTAATTTGAGATTGTGGTAGGAGATGATAGATTTCAAATTCTGAATTCGCATTTACAACCAACCTTATCTGATCATCGACTGAGCCTAGAATTTGATAAATTAACTTGAGATCGTGGTAGTGATAGAAGATAAATTTCAAATTCTGAATTCGCATTTACAACCAACCTAATCTGATCATCAACTAAGCCTAGAATTTGATGTGAAATTCATGTAGTCATTTTCCATGTGCTTTCCCCTGCTTGAACTGTTTTCTTTGCCCTTTTATAGAAGAGGTAAGATATAGTTGGAGGGGGATAGAAACTGAAGAGAAGTATGTAGAAACTCCAATTATTTCTCTTACTCATGTGTTGAGAAATCCATGATAGTGGGTAGCGGGGCAGGTTGTTGCCCATTGCTTTTCACTTTTCCTGCGCTACAGAAGAATAAAAAATTGAATACTCCATCCATTTCAATTTAGATGAGATAGTTTGACTCGGTACGGAGTTTGAAACTTGTAGTCTTAAAAACTCAATGGATAAAAACTTTTGCGGGGCCATGACATTTGTGTTGTTATAAAAAATTCTCATTAAGGATAAAATGTGTAAAATGAAGAGTTATTATTTCCAAATTTTGAAATGTGTCATTTATTTTGGAACAGACTAAAAAGGAAAGTACCTCATCTAATTTGAAGGAATTGATGTTCTTTCCCCAGCTTTCTCATCTTGCCAGCAACGGCAAACAAATAATGATATTTGTAATTAATTACATCTAAGAAATAAACTTCATCGAATCGTTCTTCACTGAGTTTGAATTTTAAGTTCAACGTTAACAAAAGTAATCGCCTGATATACATAACCTGAGAAAAAGAAAAGAAAAAATGACAATCAACATATAAATCAAGAATGACACCAAAAATAAAGTGCGAAAAGAGAACATACTAATTGTGCTTTAGTTGGAGCACAACCAAAGGTAAAAGCTGTGGGAGATGAACTTGTGTCTTGTGAAATACAAAATTCATCTAAGATATGAGGCCCCCAAAAGTTTGATGGAGGAGAAAAATGAAAACAAGATTGACTGTCTTGAGATTATCACAACCAAACTTTAGTTTCATTACTGCTGGAATTCCCAAGACATGACGTGCCATTCTTGTTTAAAAAACAGGTCTGATATTACTGGAGCTCCATTGGTAAAATCACCTCGGATGCTCGGACTAGTATGCTCGGACTCTCAGATTCGGCGAAAACAATGGGCATGGGGTCTTCATTGGCTCCTATCTGTCCAAAGAATGCTCCTTACGAATGACGGTCGTGCTCGTCTTGGACTTGGCTGTGCCCTTTGGGTCGGCCATGCTCATGCGACACCGGTGTCAATGAGGAATGCTACCTGGTTGATCCTGCCAATAGTCATATGCTTGTCTCAAAGATTAAGCCATGCATGTATAAATATGAACAAATTCAGACTGTGAAACTGCAAATGGCTCATTAAATCAGTTATAGTTTGTTTGATGGTATCTACTACTCGGATAACCGTAGTAATTCTAGAGCTAATACGTGCAACAAACCCCGACTTCTCGAAGGGGTGCATTTATTAGATAAAAGGACGACGCGGGCTCTACCCGTTGCTGCGATGATTCATGATAACTCGACGGATCGCACGGCCATCGTGCCGGCGATGCATCATTCAAATTTCTGCCCTATCAACTTTCGATGGTAGGATAGTGGCCTACTGTTAGACCTCCGCCAATTGAGCTCGACTTGACAACAAGAGTGTTGTCATGAGGCAGCAAGAGTGTTGCAAAGCTGGTGCGCGAGTGGCACCAAAGTCAAAAAGGGAAAACAGGCAAGCTATGGCTAAGGCTTTGAACGGATGCGACGCAGCTTGGCAAGGGCTTGACAATGAGTTGCGGGCTAAGGGTGACACTTGATCATGACTAAGGCATCAAGGCATGAGGCAGTGATGCCAAAGCAAGGCAAAAACGGATAGGCAAAGGCAAGCAAATGTGCAACGGAAAGGCAGTGCGCGGGCAGATTTGTCATGGCAATGAGTTGCGGCAAACGGGCCAAGTTCGTGGGCGATGGCAAGGAATTTGTGGCACAATGCAGCTGGATACAATGGCATTGGAGCTGGTCTAAGCCAAGGCACGAAATTGGGGCAGCAAGTCTTGGTTTGACAAAGTCAAAGACGGTTACCGGCACATGCTGTGCACATGGGCAGCAGTTGGAGCTTTGCTAAAATGCTGGCAGGAGTTAGCACGTTTTTGGGGGCCATGATCCCATTTACTTTAGCATGATTTACATGATCCTAGTAGTTGGGGGTGTCAACTACACTAAAGTAAAGCAGAAGCAGTGGGCTGAGTGGGCAAGTGTTTAGGCCTAAAATGGGGCAACTATTGTAAACATGGGGCTGTTTCATATATTATAAATGGGCAACACCCTTTCCTTTGTGGCTTATGTGAGAAAAACGTGTGAGAGCACACTAAAAGAGTGAAAACGTGAAGAGTGCATGTTTTCTGATTTAGGAAGAGTCCTAAGTCTTGTTTTCAAGAGTGGAAACACTAAGGCTAAGAGTAGTCTTGTGAGGGTCAAGAGTGATCTTCATTTTTTGTACACGGATGTACTTCGGAGTTTGAGTTTTCTTTGTATTCTCGAGTTAAATACAAAGTTGGGAAAGAGTTCCTGTAATCTTGTGTCTTTTGTTCATGTTTAAATTCTGTCCCTTCACTTATATTTTCGTTGCCTAAGTTCATTCTAAGCTTACTACGTTGAACGCTGCCTAAATTAATCGAAGTCCAAAGTTGCTGAAATTTTGGCCGAGTGTTGGAGCAGGCTGAAGTCAAGTCGGTGCTTGGCTGCCGCGCGGGCTGTTTTTGTGTAGACATAAAACGCGCCCGTGACACCTGCCATGGTGGTGACAGGTGACGGAGAATTAGGGTTCGATTCCGGAGAGGGAGCCTGAGAAGCGGCTACCACATCCAAGGAAGGCAGCAGACGCGCAAATTACCCAATCCTGACACGGGGAGGTAGTCACAATAAATAACAATACTTGGGCTCTATGAGTCTGGTAATTGGAATGAGTACAATCTAAATCCCTTAACGAGGATCCATTGGAGGGCAAGTCTGGTGCCAGCGCCGCGGTAATTCCAGCTCCNACTAAGACCGAAGCTTCTCTACCACAAGCCAGAACAGTACCTGCACCTCCACCTCCAATACTTTTACCTCCACTTCTCACATCTCTACATCCACCTCTAACACCTTTATCTCCACAAAGCCTCCGAAGACGTAGCTGATCTATCACTGGTCTGTGTTGCTGCTCAGCTAAAGAAGCGGTACATGACCTCGCCATTCGCAAAAGAACGAAGTAGAAATTTAATCGGCATTTGAGAAACCAATCGCACGACAAGAACGAACAAATGAGAGGTTTTCCTAACTCAATAGACTTTGGGGAACAAGTACAGACGTCTCCGTACCTACCCCTCAGACTCTACTAAGTTTGTTCGTGAGTTGTGAGACCTATGTAACCTAGTGCTCTGATACCAACTTGTCACGACCCGGATTTCCCACCATCAGAGTCGTGATGGCGCCTACTCGTAGTAGCTAGGCAAGCCAACTTAATTACCTTTCCATCACTAGCAATTATCTTTAACAGTTTATAACATCAATATAGAACATAAAGTCTAATAAGAACAATAGCGGAAGTCTGTCTTAAAATGATGAATTTAAAACGTGGAACAGTCAAAAACAACCTCTACCCAAGATTTGGTGTCACATTACTCACGAACCACTAAGGATAAACTAAATACAAAGGTCTGAAAGAAATATAACAGTTGTCTGTCTCGAAACAAGGAGGCAACAGTCTAAAAGAAAACAATGAGAAGAGACGCCGGGCCTGCGGACGCCTGCAAGGCTACCTCAGTCTCGTGAATATGAATCGCCTGCTTCCGAACTACTGCTGCTGCTGTTCCTCAAAACCTAGACCTGTGTAAAAATGCACAGAAGTGTAGCATCAGCACAACCGACCCCATGTGCTGGTAAGTGTCTAGCCTAACCCCGGCGAAGTAGTGACGAGGCTAGACCGGACACCACATAAACCTGTGCGGTCATAAATATACAGCGGAAATCGAATACAACGCAATTACCATCATGGGAGGGAAAACATACTATGGGGAGTTACAATAATAACAACAATCCAGAGTAACAACTAAAACAACTTAGGTTCACAGTGAACAAGGAATCAATACTCAAATGTAAACACATAGCCTCAATAATTGTTGCGGCGTGCAACCCGCTCCATAATTACCATTGTTGCGGTGTGCAACCCGCTCCACAATATCATTGTTGCGGCGTGCAACCCGACCCACAATATCATTGTTGCGGCGTGCAACCCGACCCATATTACTTATCATATATCATTGTTGCGGCGCGCAACCCGATCCTCATATATTATTGTTGCGGCGTGCAACCCGATCCTCAATATCATTGTTGCGGCACGCAATCCGATCCTCAATATCATTGTTGCGGCGCGCAACCCGATCCTCACATATTATTGT